AATTGTAAACAAAAATCAACTATAAACTATTGTACTGTTTTCGAGAATCTGTCTTTTGGCAGTTTTTTTAGATAAACGTGTGTGTGTCCCTAACACATCAAACGAAAGTGTATAAAAAAAAAAAAAAATTATATTACGAGTAAATTTCATTTTAGCTCTTTTTCTCTCTAATGAAATTTTATAAAAAAAAAAAAAGAAAATATTTCAGGAAAGTAGCCAAAAAGTCGCATGATATGTTAAGACGGAAGATCATTAATTTTGCAAACACGTTTTTTTCTTACACTTTTAATATATTGTACATATTCTATATATTGTTTACTTTTTTTTTATACTGCCACAGCATCACATTTTTATCGGTTCGCCGAAGCGGTTTTGTTTTAAACCTGAGATGAGTTTGTGTGTTTGCCATATTTTTACTTTTAAGTTTTTAACCGCAGGTAAATTTTGTCTTCTTTGAAAAAATAAACTCTCAGCGTCTTTCCAGCGGTTCTCCTTAATTGACCTACCGCAATAATATTGCGTTGTGTAATACAAATTTTATACTGACATGAGATAACAACATCTTGTTAAACTGTAAGTACCAATTATTAACATTATATTTTCGAATATCAAATATACCTATTAGGTACAATAATTATAATCCACGAGTATCCATGAGTACAAATTGTACATTTAATAACATACTCCAAACTAGCTGTTATAGTAAGTAAATGACTGTGAATTTTTTTCCCCCAAGTCGTCAAGTTATCAAATTATATGATAGACGATTTGTCTGAGAACTAATGATGAGCGTCGACAAACGTGTTAGGGGACAAAACAAAATATTATTTGATATATTTTTTTTTTTACGAAACTGACTTGGTAAAAGAATAACGTGACAACAATCATGTGGAAATAACTAAAAGCCCACGTAGTGCCATCTAAAGTTTTTTGAACTATCATCGCCAAAAACCTCCGCACACTCACGCATAATGCTTTAAAAAAGTAATGCGTGTGTTCGAGTGGGAAGTAAATGTATTAGGAGTGACCAAATATCAAACGAGGACAGATTAATACAGCCATAGTGTAATCCAAAACAACATAGTACTAGGCACACAACAAAATTGTATTTAGGTATAATGTTATTTAGCTTAAAAACATTTTTTACCCCTTTTTTGCAAGACATTGTTTACAGGCAACGATTCCTCTTAATCTGGCTATAAACGTTTTTTATTCTGTTTTGCATCATTCAAGATGCCTAATATCATATTATTAAAATAACAATTTGAATTTTGTGTGCGCACAACTACAAAGTTGTTTTTCTATTAAAATAACACTTGAAAGACACTGCAAACAGTTATCAATAGGTATGTAATACTATTTTTATGTAGTGCATAAAATAATTTATTCTTTGAAATAATTTTGTAGTAAGAATTTCAACTATTACTTTATTTGAATACATTTTTTTTTTGGTCAGTTATTACTTTACCGTTTCTAATAACAAAGTACAACAACATTTGTTATTTCTTTTAGAACAAGAACCAAAATACATTAATTTTATAGATATTTTTCCAGTAAGTCAGAATCTTAAGTATTGAAATCTATATATTCTGGTTCATATTCAAAAATTGTACTATACATTGTAGATTTTTTTATTCAATAAAATTGTTTTTTTATTAATTATACACTACTGGATATACATTTTAATCGATTTTTTAATTAAAAATCAAAATAATTTGAGTTAGTAATTAATTGAAAATTAATTTAAACAAATTTGTATTCGTCAAATTTATTCGTTCCTTCAAATGTATTTAAAATTTGTATTCTTATTTGAGTTTATATGAAATTAATTACCAGGCCTGAGTAATACCTATACTATATGCACCCAAACGAAGTCTATGTACAATCTGCAAATTATAATCTATATGAACTCATTCTTAGGGAAAACGTGATCACATGCGTTTTATTGGTATTCACTGTTAATTTTTTATGATGTTTAATACATTATAGCACATTATTTTATACAGTTAAAAGTAATATTTGGAGAATAATAATGAAATGTTGCTATTAAAAAAATAGAGCTATTACAACTAATTCATTCTAACACACGATTTATAAAAAAATGTAACATTTATTTTTTAGATAGGATAAAAAAAAAGATTAAAGAACTATAAGGTCTCAGAATTCTTTCTTACTCTCTTTATAGGAATTAACATAACATTTTTACTAGAAAATATTCATGTTAAATCGTCAAAACTGCTTGAGCTACCATGTTCGCTTGGTTTTAATAAATAGAATCTTATCAACAGAACTTGACCTTACCAAAAAAACAATTGAACAAGACCGACATAAGGGAGGAAATTGTTACAAAATGACAGTTTAGATAAAGAGAGAAGTTATAAAACTAGTTAGGGTACATATGTCAAATTCGCCGTTCTTGGGATCTATTAAAATTCAAGGTATAAGTTATTTGTCTGGTCGGGAAATTAGAGGAAATTTCAACTGAGGGTAAGTAATCGTAAGTGATGTGTTTAAGCGCGATTCTGCCGAACAAGAAGAAAGGAATTTAGAAAGGTTACCGAAGGAGCCTTGTTAATAATTAAGGATACAATAAATATAAGTTACAGCAGCTATTGTATTGCTAACGAGACCCCGACACTTTCTTTCCGTTGTAAATATTCTATTTGAATCTAATTCCAAGTATGCATGTGAACTCTTTTTATTTTTTTCTGATGTCGTCTGATGTATACAAATAAGTAAATGGGCACGCGTGACACGAATAATGATAACTTATTCTTCAAACGACCCATGCTTGACCGTAATACTGTTACTATTTAAGCATTACTCAAGAAAAAAATGCACCGACAATAATTTCACGAGCTTGCCGGCACTTTTTTAATATTCCCCAAACGCATATACAAACGAAACGTTGCATTTTTTTGGTTTATTAAAGTATCTATAAAATATATACTATGGCAGTTGGATGTCTACTGAATATTTTCTCTCGTCGTACAGGTATACTGAGAATAAATTTAAAAAAAACCGCGGTAAAACAAAAATTCTACGCGAGTTCGCATCTTTGAAGTTCGCCCGTTCGATAAAGCTATTATTATATAATTATAATAATAGCTCGTTGCATTTCAATGGCCCGGCAAACATAATACATAGTAGTATGTAGTACATTGTAGCAGTATTATCATTCAAAATATAATATTATTTAATACCGTATACGTTTCAGTGGTAATGAAAAGAAAATTAAAACCACATTGTACTTTTGCAACTATAGCAATATGGGTTTTCAATATAAAATATCATTTATAGCTGTCATTGTCGCTACTCAATCTTGATTTTCGACAAATCCAAGTAATACATTATAATATTTACTGTGTAAAATATTATAAACTATAATATTGACCGTTGTAAAAAGGGTCATATTATTATATTATGTACAAGAACAAAATGTTTGATTAACATATTATAATAAACAAAGACTAGAAAAACTGACGTTCATAAAATATTTAAATTCTCGAAAACTATAGCTTTTTAGCTTTAATGTGAGTTTTATTAGGAAGGTATTGATTTTACAATGCTATTTAGTTAGTTTGACAGTTAGCTGTTAGAATGGATTTTTTTTGCATAAGCATATTATCTTGACATTTTAAATTAAAATAACTGTCAAAGGGAAGCGGGGAATGATGAACAAAGGGTTCACTGACCGACGCATTTAAAGCACAATCAGGATTTTAATCTTATAAATGAGGAGCGTTCTTCTACCCGACGACAACAGCGTATATAGTGTATATTATAACTACATAAGATGTGCATGGGTTTCAACTTTCACCCATCAGTCCTGGGCTTTAAAATTCAGTTTTTACATTATAATATTACATATACATCTGCATATTTATATGTTATACAGTTCTGAATAACATCTTATTTTTCGACGACATTTCATATAATACGCAATATTAATAGTAATTACTATTTTAACTAGGCCGATTCGCTTCGTAGTGAGTTATTCCACTATATACAATTGTTTAATTAAAATAAATATGATAAACATTTAACATAATAGTATATTTTGTTTGCTATTGATTACAGTAATCATGCAATGTTGCGTTTTATGAAAGTAAATTAATTTATTTGCACTTGCCAACTACGATGGAGTATATTTTCAATTATACAAATAAAAACTGCATTTTTAAAACGCTCTACGCTCGTCTACACACAACAATATTATAAGATAACGTTGTTTAATAAAACGATAAATGATCGTTTGGACGTCTTCCAACAACACTGCCGGTTTACCGAGCCAATGCGATAATAAAATAATAGCCTAATATAACTAAAAAAAACTTATAAATTATTTAGCCTAGTCGCCTACGTCGAAACCATGTTGTTGTGTGACTACTATACATATAAGTTTACTAGAATTTATTTTACATTTTTATCCATGTTATTAAACTCTATTCAGTCGTAAGATTTAGGGGGAATGATCGCTGGTTAAAAGGTGGTGTATTCTTATTCTGAATAGAGTTGTTCCCTTCAATGGAAATATACTCCTCCTTCGTCATTCTTACGATTACACAATGAAGTGATTGCACATACATTAACCCTCTAATTTGCATTTGAATAGCTCACCGAGACCCATGTGTTTTGCAACCTATCCGCCGCGACTTTGGTGTTTCATTTACTAAGTGTTGTTACTTGTCAATGTAAAATTAGTACGTACGATTTTTTTAATGTAAAAATGCGTTATAAATTATACACACGTTGAATTGCAATTTGAATACAGCATTTATAGTTCGGAAAATACTGCATAGAGATTTAATATGCTTTAAGGATAATAATATTATTACTATAAACACATCATACACATAGGTACTTCAGTTTGCCTAACTATTAGCTGGAAAGGAATCGTTTGACGAGAAGGGAAGTAGTAAAAATTACCTATTGTATAAACTCTCAGTGCGGTATACTTGGAATTAAAGCTAGTTAATAATACTTAATTTGTCTCTCACTTTATAAACGGATAGTCCGGGGTATCCTCTACTCCCATATTCCGTCGATCCTCGTCTGGTCAGTCTTTCCTTGAGGTTGTTGTGGCCGTAAAAAGGATCCGTCGGATGCAACCTTGTAACAAATAAGAATAAGATGAGATAGTTTAGATTAGAAAATGTATTAAAGTTTCAATTCATAATGAGCTAAAATTAAAATGATTTAGTAAAATAATTAATAACGTTAAAAATATAAGCAAATTCGAAGTATAACTTTTGTGTATCTTTTTATCGTTTATTTACATAAGATTAGGTTTTTGATTTTATTGTTTCTTTATGTAAACAAATACAAGAGACTGTTTAAAATTATTAACATGTCTTTAAAAAAAAAGTGCAAATCCAGGAGATGGGTTAAAGAGCTTAGCCTTCTCTCCGGATTACTTTTTTAATTTAATTACCCTTACCAACTATTAATTATCATAGTTAAGATTTGTTTTGATACATTTTTGACGTGCATATGACTTATGGCGTGATCATTTTATTGCAGAGGGGATGAGGATGGGTCAGCTTATATTGTATAGGTTCAAAGTGCCATAAGATAATATATTCATGGTTCAATGTCTTTCCTTCTAGTTAGAGGTGGTATTTTTATTTTTATTGTAGACTACTCTTCGATACAGATATATATAGGGTGATTCTTTTATCATGAACCAGTCAATATCTTACTGAGTTTAATTAATAATTGAATTTTTTTTTTTTCATATTGTTTTTATACAATGTGATCTCAATTTTTCACAATATTTTTCGATTTTACCCCCTCCCAACTTAGATTTGTTGATAGCAACTTTTGAAAATTAAATGGTAACATATATTTTATAACTTTTTTAAATAGAGAATGTATTACAAATTTTAACTGGTCGATAACCAGTTTCGGATAACAATTTGTGAAGTTATTAGAGTTTAAAAGTTAGGATGGGAGGGAAGTGGAGTGTAGTATTATTTTTATCTGCGCGCATTTCCCAACCGCACTTCCCCTCCCATCCTAACTTTTAAACTCTTATAACTTCAAAAATAGTAATCCGAAACTGGTTATCGACCAGTCAAAATTTGTAATACATTATTCTCTATTTAAAAGGTAATAAAATATATACGTTACTATAACCATTTATGTGTTAGTGGCCTCTATGAAAACCACTTTTATTCGTATGGCAGACACGCAGAATTATTTTAATGGTTCGGAAATTATCCATACTGTGACATATATGAAGGCCACTTGTAAAAATACCCTAGATGGGCAGAACTATTTTTTTCATTAAAACGTTCTTTTAGAATAGTATTACCATTCGACTAATTATTTGTAACATTTTTGCTTAAGGGGACATCAATGATACTTTAAAATTAAGTCTTGTAGATGGTGGCTGAAATAGATGCCACCAAACTATAAAGGGCTATGAATTTTCCTTGACTTAGATTAATTATGTACTTATTTTATACCTTCATAATTGTAGAAGTGTCGATGTATTATTAAATAAAATTCAATCGCAATCATTGAATGAAAATTATTCTACTTAGCATAAAATTCTGAGAAAATGAGTGTCTTACGTTAGATGGATCACCCACATTTTCGGGACCTATAGATTTAAACTATTTGTGCTCATAAATCTTCTTTGCGCAAATAGTTACCTTAATAAATAATATCCTACTAAAAGCTACAAAATTTATGATATCAATGATATATAATTTAATCATTTTAATTTACTAACATTTTATAATCAGCAATTAAAAATACATTTTTTTCTTAAATAGTTCTTTTTGTATTTTTCTTGAATTCAAAACTAGTGTAAAACAGAACAATCGTTTATCAATAGAACACCATCTATTGCCATTTTTATAGATTTTAACTATAAAACAAACATTTGACGACAGATTTTTTAATAGATATTATAACAGCATAATACAAGTATAATACTTAAAGCTGTGTCAAAAATATGAATGAAAAATAAATAAAAAATGTCCTTCTTCTTATAAGAGGATTAACTAAATTTAACCAATTTTCTCAAGTATAAAACTAGAAATATGAGTCAATATTTTTTTCGAGTTTTAGTTTCAGTTTTAAAAGAAACTTAGATTAGGACTTCGGAAAGTACTTTTAATTTTTAACTACCCTTACCACACGATATTTCTAAATTTTTATTGATAGTACATAATATAGAAAAGACAGTTGAAACCAAGGGTGCTTTAGAATAGAAAATAAACCAATAAAATTACAAATTTGTAGTATTATAAAATAAGATGACACGAAAACGGAATGGCGTTTAATTGTCTGAAGTATTGGATGAGTTAAGGTGTGTAGACACAAAAAAGTTAAGTGGATTATGAGATTTAGTCGGGGTAGGAAAATATTAGAGAAAAGACAAACGAAATCAGCATGTTGAACTTGTGGGTTATGTGCAGCAATAATGGCTTAGACACTCACTTGTTCAGAGATTCTAAGAACTCGGTAAAGAACAGCTGTCTGCTTTTGTTGATCGTATAACGGTGTTCGCTTATGTATGGATAGGCCATGGTTTTTGACTACAATTAAGTTTCAAGTTGCAACGTCTAACGATGCACAACAAAATGCATACACGCGCTACACAATCAGCTCCAACGGCACAGAGCAACATTCGACCGATATCAAATTAATTAAACTGAAATTGTAAAATATTATCATGCACACATTAGTGTGCAAAAACCGAGGTCTAGGTTACGTCATAATAGGTAAAAAAAAACTCAAAACTCATAAGGTTGCACTTTCAATATATATAACCGATAAATAAAATATTATGATATAGGTACACTGCACATTAAAAGGCTGCTGTGCTTTTCCGATAATAAGGCGGCGCACGAACAACAACTGACAGTACAATAGCGATACCTAATATTAATAATAGCCACAATAAGTACAATGTAAGTATGCGGTACGTTTTACAGCAGTAGGGGAAGTCTAAATAGCGTCAAATTGTCTACATGAATAATAGTATTATAATAATAAGGCATAATATCTTTAATAATAACAGTTGTCCCCTGTTCCTTCGATATGAGGTATACCCATAGAGTTTGTACAAACCTTGTTTTGCATACAATTGGAATAATTATATTTATTATTCGCGTCCGGCTCGTTAATACCTGACTAAACTATCGCAACCACAATTTGTACTACATTGTTGCGTTTTTAACAAAAAAAAAAACACCTAAATATCTATTAATGTCCTCAAGTGCAATTATACATAATTAAAAACAGTTAACTTGAGCTAACAAATAATGAATAATAATCGTACTTAAAGAATGAACAATTATATTTTAGAAAACAAATTAAACTTGTGAAAACAAAAAAATGTAAGGCACATAGGCATCTGCCTATAATTTTTAAAATTCAAGATCAGGATTTTTCGGGGTTAATTTTGGTTTACTAGTTTTTAATTTAAATCATTTTTGAGGAGTACTAACAACTGAGAGCGTAGAGACTAGAGTAAGTTAAACTCATAAGGCAGATTGGTGACTTGTTTTATACCTAAATATGTAATGTATTTCATTTTACTAAATAAAAATATATCAATTAAATGAGATACGTTTGTTATAATTAATTTTTTTTCTTAAACTCAAGATTTAGGATGACTAAATCTGATTTAAAATCACTGTAAAATGGTTGTATCAATAAAGGAATATCCAACAGAGGCGCCACACTGTGCCAAGAAAACAGCTTCAGGGAGTAAGAGCGGTTTGCTATGAGTAATATTATTTTTACACCAATGGGTGCTAATGGATACTTAAATAGACTTCCCTGCTGGGAAACGAGGTTGGTCTTTTTAACTCGGCAATGTGTATTTTAATAAAAGGCGATGTTGCTCATTTTTGCGTTTTTGAATGAGTTTTGTTTGTTTTAAGTATAATTATTATGATGATAATAAAATTAATATTATTTCTTATTACGACTTCTACCTCTCCAATGTTGTCTTTATTTTGCTTATTAGCCATTTTAATAGACAGCCTTTTCAAAAAGTCGGATGTAACAATAACGGTCCGATGACCGTTCTCGTTTTTGTTTATTAAAAACAAAATATATTGTATTGCAGTAATTGTATTTAGCCGTTTTTTGGCCGTTTACGCGGAAACTTTTGAATATCCTTAATGGAAAAACGCATTAAAGTAATATTATTAAATTGTTAAAAAATATTGATGCGAAAAACCCGAATTCCATTGGGTCTGGCTTGTTAATAAATTACACACACTTTCGAGCCCTCGCATGCGAATTTCAAAATATTATGTGGAACGGACTCGCTACTTTTTTATTAACGAGATGTAAGTATAAATGTTAATGAGATTATTTTAATTAATTATAAAGTTGTTATATTAATTTTAAAATTATGTATGTGCTTAATATATACTCATACGGTATTGTTATCCCTGAAGAATTGTTTACATAAGCCTCATGCACTGTACATTAGGATCACCTTTATTACTATTATTATTTATTAAAAAATATATTGTCGAATAACACTTTATTAGTTACACCCATCTTATACCTTATTAACAAATATTAATGGTGAATATTTTACATTCAACCAACGGCTGCTTGCATTGTACATTTCAAATGACCGGACGTTAGTCTCAGAGTCATAGATTTTGACGATTAAATTAAAACAGTGTTTTCTTATTTGATGGCCAACGGTTTACAAGCGGAATATAAGTCGAATTTGTCTTTATTTTGACTTCCCTTTAATCATACTCGTAACTTGACAACTAAAATGGCCTTTTAGTAAAATAATTCAAAGCAACTGAACATGGTTGTTCTGCGATTTTCACATTTCTTTCAACATACTCAACTAGAATTATAATAAAAGTATGAGCAGTTTTGTTAGTATTGTTGATAACCAAAAGAAGAAGCGAAACGTCGAGAAAAACATATTTTTAGTATTTAACGACATGGTTTGCAACATCTTACATCAGCCTACTTCCTGATCGTGTAAGCGCATTAATTAAAAATCTGGAAATCTTTTTTGCTATTACTATAGCATATACCAGTACTATGATTTAGTATTTACAATATGGTTAGACGGTTGTGCTAAATATATATATTTTTTTCTAACATGTGTT